CAACAAGTTAGACTGGGCTCTGTAAACTTAGATAACAGCCAGTCTTTGAGAAGAACTATTCTGAACTCAAAACCATACAGAAAGCAATGGAAAACCACTCCACAATCCTTTCCAAGAAGTTATGGCAATTCACATATAATAAAGTAAAAGAATTTGTGGAGAACTGTGATCACATATTCTGAAGGAATATGGCATTTAAAAAAACAAAAATAAAAATAAATATGCCACATAAACAAGATAGCAATATCAGTAATGTATTTGTTTCTACTGCTATCAGGGTCAAGTTTGTAGTCGCTTCTTCCTCTATGCAGAAACAAGACCAAGCATCAATTCCAGAATATAGTTTTATTAAAATACTAGTTTGCCATCACTCAGAACTAGCCAATAAGAATTCAAGGAGAAACAACTAATTTTCTAACCAATCAAACTTTGCTGTATATTTTCTAACCAATCAAATTTTGCTAGATACTAAGTTATTAATACATAAATTCTGTAAGTAGGGAATTACTTGATATTAAAGTAAGCTTGCCTTTAAGTAAATTACTTTTAGTGAAAAAAATTCATTATCTTTACAAGTTCTACTAAAGAATAAACTTCAAATTTCATAGTGGATATGATATTTTCTTAATTCATAGGAAATTAATGCAGCAGAAAGTTCTGATAAAGCAAACAATTGAAAAGTGTGGAATTAGACCTTGAAAGATTTTGGTGAGTGGGTAGTGAGTACAAAATAATAATAACTCCCTTTACCCAATCCTTTCAAATTCAGATGAACTGAGGAAAAAGACAGAAAGAAATTCAATAGCCTTTGTGAAATTTTCTTTGAACCAATGAATACTTTGCCTTCACAAAGATTGGCCAGTGAGCTGAGAAAAGACGGAAAAAATTTGCAAGCCTCTTTCACTTCCAGTAGTCCTTTGCCTTACTTAAGGTGAACTGATTAAAAAAAATGAAAATCAGAGAACATTTTTTCAAATAATCTAATTTATATTTGTGAAAATATTCAGCATTCTAACCTTACTAGTGTTGTTGCCTGTCATGTGATAAAATTTTAATATTGGAAATTTATATTTTGTTATTTTTGGTCATCCATACTTTCATACATCATCCTATGAATTTAAGCAGGCTTTCATCAAATAAGAAAGCTGAAAATATTGTGTGACATTGTGTGTATTATAAGACAACAGACAATTTTTCTTCTATATGTCATGTCCCTTAAGGACATGGAAAATCATGGCTCTTCCATAACTTCCTGTTTTTGTGGCACTTAGTAATTTTCTAAATGTCCTAAATCCTTTTTCACCAACAAGCTTGTTGTTTACTGCTTTCCTCTGTCTCTCATGACTTATTCTGTGAGTGTAAAATTTTCCAAGTCCTCTTTCCACATTATATGCTCTATAAATTTCAATATACACAATATTGACATTTTAAAGTTAATTTTTAAAATAATATCAATAAATTTGCATAATTTTATTTATGGCAAATTTCACTGAAAATTTTTGAAAGGTTTAATAATAAATATATGTTTTAAATTAAGAATATAAGTGTTGCTATAATTAATTTTCAAAATTTATATTTAAATAAATCAAAGCCTGAATTTATTTTATTAAAACTCTAAATCAATATAAAGTTATAAAAATCCATTTAATTTTAAAATAAATTTTATATTTCAAATCGATGTAAAATTTTAGGAAATTTTGAAAATTCATCATGTGATTGCTAAAATTACTTTTTTCTTTTGAAGTATTTATAAAACAATTTTTATAAGATAGGTGAATATAAAATAATGATAAATAATATGATACACTAAGTCTGTTTATTCCTCTTTCCCTTGAGGGAAGAATATAGAAATTTATATAAAAAATGTAAATGACATAAATGATTAATAAAAGTGTAGATAAAAAGTAAATCAATATTATACACTATTTACATTATTCAGCCTATTGTCCTTATCTTTGTTGTCATATTTATTACAATGTTTCAGACGTTGTATGCTCTGGCCTTCTTCAGGTGGTTGAACTGAACCCTTTATTTTGCTCACTGGGGTAGACTGTTCTAGTTCCATGTGCCATGTTTAATGGATGTCAGTTATCAGTTATCTCCAGTTAATTCCCCTCTGCAAGTTCTCCACTGCCTTAACCGGGTATTGAACTCACACTCTTTGGGTCCTGTCACTGGATCTAATCAATGCCTTTATCCACTTTATTTAGACAGATCAATATTATAATAGACTAGGTTTCTTTTACACTTGCTTTTAAGAGAAATGTTTTTTTTTTAATTCAAAGGGAGCCAAAACTCTTAATAAAAAATAAATTTGATGTGATACATTTGTTCATTAAATTTTCCCAAAATAGAATGGCTTGAAACGAACTGACAAAAATAATTTGGTCAAGACTGGCGATTTGTGATTTCTTTTTTAAATTTGAAAAAGATATACACCTTTGTATTTTTCCTCTAATCAAGAGGGTGAATTCCACCCATGCAAATTTAAAAGTGGAGATCTATTTGGAGCCTCCTTCGAGGTTATATAAGATGATAGGTTAACTAAAAATTGAAAAAAGACCTGAAGGCTTCAAAATTTCAACCTGAAGGCTTAAAAACAGGGTTCCAGAAGGAAAAGCTATTTTGGATGTCACTGAGGGTGATCTGGATTGTTTCTCACAGAAAAAAAAAATGATAAAAAAGGAATGAGAACCAAAGTGAAGTGAATTGAACTATGTTCTAGAAAAAAAAATTGCTAAAAGTCCTAGTGATGCAAATGAACCCTGCCAAAGCCCTCCTGTTTCATCTTTCAGTCAAGTATTGGCAACTTTTTTAATAAAACATATTTTGAAACTTTTTAAAAGTGTTTTTGAAGCTTTTTAAAAAGGAATTTGTATTACGTTCTAAAGATTTTTTTTTGCATATTCAGTTTGAATCATATGTCTTTTTTATGAGCCTATAAATTTTGTCTTTTTTTAATGAGCCTATAATTCTACTTGAACTGTTTTATCTTTCCTTGTTAATAATTAAGAGCACAAATGAATATTTTTGTGCAAGCTTTTTTGTAAAATTTGTATTTTTTTCATTGTTTTTTATGACTATGTAATAAATGTTTGTCACTTTAAAAATTTCACATCAGAGTTTCAAGTCTTGTTTGTTTTTGTATGTGCCTTATTCAATATTCAGGATAAGAGAGGTGCCATTTTTTTTATAGAGGATAGTAGGTTATCACTTTTGGGAGTCATTAGGTTATCTTATGACAACACCAATTACCTTCATATATCAGTACAGTTGATTTATGTGTATTTTGGCCTTGTGATTAAAGAAAAATACAGAAAGTATTGATATATACAAAATAAATCTTTATATAACACAATATAATAATACAGATGGATAAGGTTTAAGTTGAAGTTTCAAGAGTTCAAGTATAAAAGTCCTGGCATATATAAGAGATAGAGTCCAGGAGTAGGGAAATAAATATATATATGTTTATGCATGTATGTATGCATCCAAATTTGTTTGCCTGGTGATTTTTATTATCCATTTATTTTTAGAGATGGTGAAATTTTGGTCTTGTTATTTATTTCTCTATCACCACACACTCTCCCTGAAACAAAACAATCTTTTATATTTAAATGTATCTAAACTTTTATTAACATTATTTACATTAGGACTATTGTCCTCATCTTTGTTATTAGAATTTGAGAACCACTTCTACAATGTTTTACAAGTTCACATTCTATCTTCTTTTCAGATCTTTGCCACAGCTTTCACCTCTGCTTCCAAAGCCTTGATCCTTATCAAAGATAAGAATATATTTTTTGACAAATGAGAGTGCCAGGGAAATGGAAAATATATGCCTCAGTAACACCAGTCATCTTCAAAACCTGTTTCAAGGAAGAAACCTATATGCTAGGCTCTAAAGATAGAATGCTAAAACTACTCAAGATCTCCTTTCTAGAACCTTGAAATTCTTGTCATCGGTCACTCACTCAACTACAAATTGTGAATCTTCTGATTGCTTCCCCCACAACAGGAGCTTTGAAGAAATCTTATATGACTGTAAATTTCTTAAGAACAATTTACTTGCTTAAAGAACTTTTAGGCACCCAGAAAAATACTTTGAACAAGCCTTTATACAAACACTTTTTCTTCCTTTGAGCTACGGGAATTTTCTTCTTTTCTTTCTCTCATATTTTTATATATCCCGTTACCTTTTTTCATGTATGTAAATAAACATTTTCTTCTTCTATTGTTAAACCCTGAGCAGAAGTTCAAGTCTTTATTCTTTTGCCTAAAAGAGGGAATTTTCTGTTCTAAACTTTCAAGCCGTAGTTGCTTTTATCGATTCTGTCACCTTTTTTAACCGTAACCCTTTCATGTGGAAAATCTGGGACAAATCTCTCACATTGTTGTTGTTATCCCAATGTTTCAGCCATTGCATTTTATGGCTTTCTTCAGGTGTCTGTCAATCTGGGTGCCTGGATTTTAAAATGATTTCAATTTAAAACAAAAGTACTTTTTTAAAATTACATTATAAATTCTTGTATTGGCTTAACACTAAATGCAAAGGTGATCAACTAATTGGAAATTATAATTTTATGGCATTTATTAGACTTTTATATTTTTTTAATTTGAAAAATTATCTAATATTAATTTTAGTCAAGTTGTTCATGGAACCTAAATCATTTGTTTACTTACATTACAATAACCTTTTTGAAGTTATTTTCAGCTGCTTAAATTTAAAATTAACTTGAATAATTCAAAAGTAAAACGAGCTTTGAAGTCATAAGAAAAATAATTGACATATTTTTTGCATGGAAAACACGACATCTTAAAGGTAAGTTTAATTCTCAGGGAAAAAAGCATGTGCATTTAAAAAAAAATAAATGAAAATATCTAGTCGATAAAAAACTTATTTCCACTCTATTTTTTACCTAACAAATTTGGTTCTTTTTTAAGACTGGTGAAAATTTCTTCGTATAGACTAAATCTGACCATCATTCTGCTATTCTCGTATGCTTCCTTTCTCACTAACTCCTACCACTGCCTTGTATTCGGTTATTCCTATCCCATACTTCCTTAATCTGCCTCCTACTGTTTTTACCCTCTTATCTCCTCCTCCTTCGACCCTCACAGAAATCACTACTCCTACTACTACTACTTATTGTGTTTCCTCCTACCACTACCTCAAAATTATTCTCTCGTTCGCTCCTTCTCTCTTTAATTTTCTCCTCTCTCTTTTTTTCCTATAACGGGAGCAGCAGATTGAATATACGAATAAGACGAGCGCCAGAAATTCCAGTGGAGAAGATTCCATTCTGGAATTTTAGATTCCGCCAAACTCGAATATTCTCCTCATTCTTTGCACAAAGGTTTGAACTTTCTTCTATTCCAACCATCATTCCTGGCTTTTCTATAAGTTTCTCTTTCTCTATTCTCAAACGAATTCTTGTCGTTTATTGTCTTCACAACAGTCTTCTAAAAAAATAATCATCTCAACTTTCGAAATGAAATTAAAATCTACAAGACACGTCGTTTCTCGTGTATATTTTTAAACTTTTTAATCAACTGTTATTCTTTTACTGAAATTAATAACTTTAAATAATTGGAATGCCATATTTTATTTCAACTTCACAGCCATGACCACGTTCGATATTTAAGTAGAAATTTAATACAATCACATGTTATTGTTAACTAACATTTTTTTTCTTTGTAATGGTTTTCATTTCACTTTTAAAAATCAAACTTTTATAAAGTATTCTTTCTTTAAAAAGTGTTTTCTTTTCAAAAGTTGAATCGCTGAACTCCTAAAAATACGAAGACCTAAAAAAAAAAAAGTTAGCTACACGTGCTCTCAAATTAAAAACAGTTTCACAGCTTTCAATTTTTCCCACTCAAGGTTGTTTTTAAAATCAATGACAATTTTCTAAAGTGGGAAACTATTTCAACAACACTTTTAAATTTATATAGACAAGAATTGAATAAAAAAATTTAATGCAAATAAGCTTTTGCTAGCTAGCTTATATAGAAATTAAATATAAAAAATTACCAGTTTTCATTTTTTTTTTCTGAGAAGTAATTCTTTTTAAATTGACTACTGAAATAATCTTTTGCTATAAAATTTAAAATTAAAATATTTTTTCTGGATGTATTGAAATCAAATGTTAAATATTTACTGACTATAATTTTTTATTTTATTTTTATATCATTTTTTTTTTTCTTATAAACAGTATTCACCAAGTGTCCTATTTTTTTAATTATATAATAACTTAATGTAAATGTTACTACCAGATATTTAAAATGTCCTTTGTTAAAAACTGCTTATATACTAAAATAAATAACTAAAAAAAGAATATAAGATTGATTGACCCATTTAATTTTAGTTTGGCTATTTTTCACTTCATAAATTTTTAAATTACCATGTTCTGTAGTTGTCTGCTATAAAACTCAGAATAAACCTTTACATTACTTATTTTACTACTATGAACAAAACTAAATCAGTATTATCTGTAACTTTCATTTTATGAAAAAGCAACACAAACCAAAAAAAAAAAAAATCACCCCCCACTGAGCCACCGAAAATGATGTGAATTAATTTTAGTGTGTAAATTCTTACAGCCCCACTGCTTTGCTTTCACAACTTATAAATTCAGTTTTATCTTAATATAGGACTTTCTTTTCCTAAAAAATTTTGGAAATCAATTTGCATTTTTAATTAATCTCAATTCAGTTTCCATTTCTAGGTTTTACTTTGAACAGAAAATCACTTTTTTTCATTATTTGAAAAGTTCAAATGTATTATTTTTTTAATATACTTAACTTTTTATGTTTTCTTGAGTGCATTTAAGCTAAGGTTTGATATAAAATCAGGTACAAATACAATTACAGGTTTTACTGTATGGAATTAATTATCCAGTCGAAACCATTACATTCACTTACATGCTAATATCCTTGGGAAAGCTATGAATCCTCTTTTTCTCCTCTCAGCTATGGGTAAATAGTAGGACAGACTGGGTTCTATAGCCTTGTATGGGAACTGGTCTACTGCAGAAAGAAATGGCAACCTACTGTGGTAAAAAGTCTATCTTGTCAGTCATGTATCGAAAGATACATGATTGCCTAAATGTGTATCACGCATGGCACATGACTGATTGTTATTTACTAAACTTGTCTTCGTCTTGACTCAATGCTATAAATACAAGGCACACATAGACTTGAATAGACTACAACACTTTCTTGATTATTCATACACCTTTGGACAAGGATTGAAAAAATATGTTCAACTAATTAAAAATTCCAAATAATTGAATACCTCAAAATTATTAGAAAAGTATGAAGAAAAAATCATTTTTGGAAAAAAATTTGATATCTATAACATCAAATAATATTTTCAGATTCTTTGTTCAAGATTTTGTTTGGTTTATTTTTTATGAAAAAATGTCAACTTTTGTCAGTCTGTAGCTGGGTTTGCATTCTACTGCTAACTCTCGAAGTTGGATTAAAGTAGACGTCTTTGTAAGGATAGCTGTGGGAAAATTAAATAAAATAATAAAGAATTAAAAAATAAATTCATTTTTCCCATGAAGCAAGTTATAAAGAAACTGAAAAGTGTTCCTGGTTACATGTGTGATTTTATGACACCACTTCAGAAAAGAACAGAATTTCTATTTTTCTAATTTCCAACGAGATTATTCGGATGTGTTTTCAGCATCCCTACTCATGAAGTAGAGATTTGGCCGTCCCAACTCAGCACAAGGCTGACTTGAGCTTGACCTTTTTACCCATTCTTATCTTTACTTTCCATAAATTATTTCTGGACCAAAAAGGAAAACAGACATTCTCAAGAGGTATTTAACTTTGTTTCAATACAGTTACCATGAAATAAATTTTTCTTTATGTTGTCTACTTCAATAATAAATTATGAGAATATTATTTTACAATACATGAATTAATTATGGTCAAAAAGGGTACATGGATGAAATAACAGAAACCAATTGATTTACAATGCAAGATAACATTTATTAAACAAAATTAGCAAAAGGAAAGTTTAAGACAAGTTTCTTTACCTAGAAGTAAATTGCATACACAACAAAATGTTAATAAATGTATTTGAGTGTGACTTACCATGTAGGTGTGTTTTAGTGTGAAGCGTCCACAGCTCTTTTTGCTTCACGGTGAAAGGTTTGTCATACAATGCATAGCTTATCTTGGGCAAGTAGGCTTAGTGGAGGCCATTTCTCTCCAGGTTAAACCTCAACTGGTGTCCTCCAACTTGAAGGCTTGCCTTGGTCATGCACACCTGGTTGTTGATTCCATCAGGGAGGCCTTCCCATTGACTTCAGGGTGGAGGCTTCCCCAATAGAATCAATAACACATGACAAGAAAGTACACATAATTATTAGATATTTCTAAACTTTGGTCTAAAATAAATAAACTTTGAAACAGTTAATTACAATGTGAAGCAATGGGAAATATATTTTTTTTTTGTTAATTTAAAATGTTAATTTATCAGTTGTGTTTCATTAATATGAATGAGTGCTGACAAGTTCTCAATTTAGCCCACTTCCCAAAATCAGACAAAATGACCAAAAATCAGAATTTTTTTTTCCCATTCCTTCTTGGTCAGACTGAATTTCCTTTTTACACTATTTACATTATTTAGACTGTTGTCCTCATCTTTATTACCATATTCATGATGTTTTGGCTGTTGTACATCCTGGCCTTCTTCAGATACATTGGAATTTTGAACCAAACCTTTTATTTAGTCCATGGGGGTAGATTGTTCTAATTCTATGTATCATGCTTTTTTTAGATGTCTCGATTTACTGTAGTAACTGTGTGAGAAAACAGGGAAAAAAAAACTCCTTCTTGCAAAACAAAAATGACCGCCTTCTTGCAGACCTGAAACGAACACCTTCTCTTTCAAATGAACAATTTACGACAGCAAACAGTACCAACGACTGCTGCCGGCGAACGGACGACCGACTGCAACGGCTTTTGTCGCCCCCCAAAAGACGCCAAACAACTCACGCGTCTTCTTATAGTCCTTGCTCGAGTCCATTACGGTACTTCAAGGTGTGTGCAGTGAAAACACACACATGCAGTTCGAGGACGCTTCCACGCATGCTTGTTATGGCAATAAAGATGAAGACAACAGTCCAAATACTGTAAATAGTTACAATACCTCATCTCAGAAAAATTCTGAAGAAGGCTGGTGTGTACAATGGCCGAAATGTGAATATTGCAATAAAGATGAGGACAACAGTCTGAATAATGTAAATAGTTACAATATTTCAAAAATATAGACAGATATATCAGTCCCTACAGTCCTCCCTCTGAATGTTGTTTACCTTAAATATCAATTGGGTAGCAATCACTCTTGATTAAAAATGACTGACAAAGTACTTCTGTTAAGTTTTTTCCTGTTTGTGAACAAGAGCTTTCTTTTTTGGACTTGGTATAGAAATTAATGAAATAATTGTTCATTCTGAGCACTTTCAACTAATCTATTAGCAATTTTCAACGATTTTGGTTGTACAGTTGTTAATTAGTTTCTAACTCCTATTGTAAACAGTGACTTTAAAGCCCAATATGCATATATTTAAAACAGCCTGGAAATGTAGCAATCTTGGTACAATGCATACTTGTTGAAATGTGATACGCACTTCCAATTGTGAAAAGTCCTTATCATAAAATACAATAATTATGCTGGACAAACCACCACTTGCTCATCAACCCAGCTGACCCTACATCTCTCAGATCATAGCTTTATAAGGACCCATTTAAAGTAGCATGAAAATTTACCCATTTCAAAACATACTTGTCCAGAACACAACTATGATATGTGCTTCCAACTGCAAAAATATCTAAAACTAATGGAAAGCCTTATAAAAAACAAAAAATCAATCCTTATCCACATCTACATAGCTACAATGTACTGGTGATATTTGGAAAAAAGAATATGTATACTTTCAACAACTTTTAGGCTATTTACACTATTTACATTGTTCAGACTGTTGTCCTCATCTTTATTACCATATTCATGATAGTATGAAAACGAGCTTTCTTTTTGGGATTTAGTGAGTGTAGAAATTGTTCAAAAGATTGTTCATTCTGAGTGCTTTCAGCTAATCTTTTAACCATTTTCAAGGATTTTGATAAATGGTATGAAAGTGCTATTTGTAAACAGCCTAAAGTTGTCTATATTTCTGAGATTAGATATTGTAACTACACTATTTAGATTGTTCAGACTGTTGCCCTCATCTTTATTGCCATATTCATGATATTTCGAGCATTATAGATTCCTGATTCTGTATATTTTTTTTAATCTGATCATCTCATAAAATGAATATTTTTAGATAAACATAGTAAGCATTTTGGGTTTTGATTTTAAATACATATTTCTTTTGCTCTTTGTTTCTACTCTTTTTCTGGAATAAAGCATATAGACTTTTCCATATATAAAACTTATACAGAAGTTTTAGAAGCTAATGTGTTGAAAAAATTTTTTCAATTTATTTTAATTCCTAGGAAAGATAATAAAAAAGAGGGAAGAGAGGACTAAGGTTGAATGTATGGTTGTCAGAAAGAGAAACATCCCAGGATACAAACTACAAATTGAAGGTGTCAAAATCAAGCTAGTACAAAAATTTAACTATCTGGGTACTTGGAACATATCACTATGGATAAGCATACAACCTGCCACAAAATAAAATATCTGCATGTTAAATAATATCAGTTTTAAAGATTCTTGATTCTGTATTTTTTTTTTTATTTGATCTGCTCATAATATGAATATTTCTTTTATATCTATTATCTTATTGTAAACTTTAAAAAAATTTTAAAAGCACATTTTTTTTTTTTGCTTTTTGATTGTACTTAGTTTCTGGAAGGAGACCTATAAATTTTTTTCTGCATAAAAGACTTATATATAAAACTTTTAGAAGCTAATATTTCAGGAAAAAAAGCAATATGAATATATTTAGTTATTTTGAAAAATAATGGCACTTATAATATTAGGCAAATGATCCATATAAGTTTTCTGTCTTCTTAATTCCTGTTCTTTTATTGTTCTCTCTCCTTAATAAAGGTTTCTTTTTCACATATTCTATCACAATCTGTAACCACCTATGTCTTTTTTTTTTTTTTTTACAGCAAGGTTCAGCTTGTACAAGGCCCGGGGGCCACTTGAGATAGAGAATTACATTAAGGAGTAGTTTATATGGATAGAAGGGGAAGATAATGGTTAACTCTAGACTTGAACAGGTTAAGATTATAGTGATCAGAAAAAACATCCTCTTGGGAGTCTGTTCACAGAGCATTGGTTGACAGGAAAAAGCTGTTTGAGTGGAACTTACTTCTTGCTGATGGAATACAGAGACTTTATTGTTTTCCTTGTGAGGAAGTGATTAAAAAAGATACTCAGTTCAGTAGCATTGTCATAATTTGAGGCTAAAAAGACAGATTTGTTGTTTAGTTTCCAGTTCTTGCAAAAATTGAGGGGGTTGAAGCTCCCCCAAGTCCTCCCTATAGTGCCATGATTAGGTGAAGCAAAATGTTTTGAAAACTACAGACAGAAAACAATAGAAAAATGTTTTTTGTTTTCTTAACCCATTGAATCCTGACCCCCTGATGAGTATGGTATATGGACTTTCATACAGCAGTTGGTATACCAACCACACAGGTTTGAAAGTTTAATTTGTTCTTGTAACGCCCCCAAAAAGAAGAAAATGTTAGTTAAACAGTAGTTGTGTGTTCAATTCTTGGGTTGGGTAATGCAAAAATTAATATCTGGTTCAATGGAGGACACAAGTGACATTTAAAGAAAGAATTAACTGATATGATATCTCCTCTGGCATGGTCAGCAGAATAAGAACACTCTATACCCTTAGATTGAATAAAGAGCTTTGTTCAAAATTCTGGGAAGGTTACCAACTATGACAAACACCTGAAGAAAGCTGGAAGATACAATGGCTGAAACATTGTGACTATAAAATGAATTAGTGACTTAACCCTCTGAACTTTCACCCCCTGATGAGTACTGATCTCCCATACTGGGTCCCCGCTGTCCATGACTTTGAGTGGTATACTTGCTGCCTGGGTATATGACACTTTCATACAGCAGCTGGTATAATGACCACTTGAGTTCAAAGGATTAATAAAACTATTGTATATACCTAATAAATTCTTAAAATCTGCTTTAGTAACAAATGTTTTAATAATTTTTTTTATTTTTAAAAGATTTTTTATTTTATTTCATTTTTCAGCTTTGAAGTGGTGGATGTATGTCAAAAGTCTAAAATCTATATACGACAATGAATCCAAATATTTCTTCAGCCAAAGCTTTCAAAATATGGAACAGTGAAAGGACCACAAAGAAATCTGTTGTTGCTACCAACTTACAAGACTTGGTTTCAAAAGGTAACTCTTACTTTACTTTAGCATTCTTTTTTTTTAATGCTATTACTCTTCAGGATATAGGCAATCATAGCTGTCTCATTTTGATCTGATAAGAAAAGAACTGAATTTGTTGGTGAGGGCCTCAGACTCAACACAGAGGCCTACATCAAGTGCCTTGAGGAGGTAGTGCTGTCCTGGCTCAAGAGGGTGACTGCTTGAAGATCTTGTATCTGGCAACAGGACTGCACTATGTCACACAAGGAGGAGAACCAAGTCATGGTTGTCAGACAATTTTTGCGACCACATCACCCCTTAAATCTAGTCACTTAACATCCTAGGTTGCAACCCCCTTGATTATTATATGTGAAGTGCAGTTGAGCTAGAGCTCAAGAAAACTCCTTGGAACACCAAAGATGAATTGAAGACAAGGATTATGGCAGAATTTACCAACTTAAACAACGAGACTGTCCAGAAGCATTGTAGGAGATTCCAAAGTCGTCTGGATGCCGTCAGTGAAGCCAATGATGATTTTATTGAATAAATTTACTCTTTAGCATTTCAAGATATTTTTGTGTAATTTTGGTAAATATATCTGTTAAAATGAGATGTCAGTTTTATTTTCATTTTTGCATAATTTAGATGACATTTTATCCATTGTGTCCTGTACAACTCTACCCAATGATAATTACTCTAATCTTATTTTCCGTTTATGCTAACCATTCAATGAACACAAAAAAAAACACATTCCCCATGTGTCTATTGTGTAGAAAAACTCATAACCCTGGTGAGAGTTAGGGGACAAGTGCTAAAACTTAGCCAAAAATCACCAGTAGGTAACAATGGTACTTATGTATGAAGCAGAGGTTTTATCTGAAGTCTAACAACTAAATGGCACTAAGGTATTATACTGCAGAGGCATGAACTTAATTTATGTTTATTAATGACAGTTTCTCCTGCAGAGGGAGATATAAGTTCAAACCCTGCTGGAGAGTGCATATTTTTTTTTAATAAGATTTCTCGAATATTCAGGACAGTAGATGAAAATAAATATACTGTTTAATAAATAAACGGAGTGTCTACTCAAATATAAGCATTCACTAAATAGAATTTAAAGTGATAAGACCTGTTGGATTAATCAAGGAAAAATACATTACTTCTTTAGAAATTGCTTTGTTTATGTTTGGATATGAAACTGAGCAGATATGAACTTTTGAGAATCTCAGAAGGATTTGTGTTTATTTGTCTTTGCTTGATTGGCAATGCACTCTGTGGCTGAGTCAGTCTGGAACATGTCAGATCTAACAATGGTTTCTTCTGCAAAGGGGAACACAAATTTGAATCCTGCGAGAGAAAGCATGTTTTTTCTTTAATATTTCTCGAATATTCAGGCCAGTAGATGAAAATAAATAAATATACTGTAAATAGAGCATCTACACAAATATGGATATCTACTAAAATAACATTTAGAGTGATAAAATCTGTTGGATTAATAAATAAAAAATCCATTACTTTGTAACCTTCAGCTCTATCAATCTCTTCTTGTCTTCATCCTCATTTGCTAGTTCCAATAGCTTTGTTAAGTAACACCAACCTTGTGGGTCATCTGGCTTTCTTTTCTCTCTTTGGTTAAGGCCAGTGTGTGAGTTGGTTTGGGTTTCCCTAAATCTTACAATATTGGGTGTGATAGCAAAGTCTAATGATAGATCAATATGTACATTGTGTACTGCAGATAAGATTGCATAATTCTTATCTATGGCCATGGTAATTTTTATCTTTGCATCTGGGACAACATTGAAAAACAAGGCTGGAATAAGAACTCCTTCAATAAAATGTAGAACACCGTTGACAATTCTAGCAATAGGTTTATTGAACATTGAAACTGGTGAATAAAATGTCTCTGTTACCTAGACAAGGAATAAATCTACCCCTAATTGGATGAAGCCTGGAAAATACAGCAATAATTGCTATAAATTGGTAGAATCAAGACTGCCTATCACCCCTTGCTTACTTCTGCTGTTCCTCATGTGTCTGTGTGTTCACTACAGCCATGGAAATGTGGGTGTGTTCTTTTGAGGCAATGGCTGTCCATGCAAATTGGATCAAATCTCTGACAAGACTCTTTGTGTGTCTGGGGCACTGTAGGTCTTCATTTTTATAAAAAAAAAACCCTATTTGACATTGATATATTTCCAACCAGCCTAATCCTAGGTAATCTTTTAATAAAACACATGGCTCCCTTTCTTTAAGAATTTTTGGTCACTCTCTCTCTCTGTAAAGATAATAACACTTCAGGTAGGGAGTATTAATATAAACAACTCATTTAGGTATAACCCACATAGCCCTTTTTGTTTAAGAGAATTTGAGTCACTCTTTTCTGTCAGGGTATAAGTGTTTGGATGGATACTATTAATATAAACAAGTTCTGAATTTAATTTCTCAGGATCAAAATATTCAAACAACACATTAGCCATGTCTTCTTATCAGAAAGAAGTGGTTGGGTTGAAGAAAATTTGTTTTTACTCAATTTTACTGTATCTTAAGTAGTTATTTCTGATTTCAATTCTCTTTGGAACTGTTTTTAAATTCATTTTATTGCTTAAAGCATAATTATTAACCTGTTTCTTTTTCCATCTTACTCTTAACCATTTAATCAACTCTTCTGAGAATTTTAATAATTATTATCCTGTTAGTAGTCCCTCCAATTTACCATTCAGCTATTTCATACAACTAAACATTTGAACAAAGTCAGTGTCCTGTTACAAGTTCTTTAGAAATTGCTTTATTTATGTTCGGATATGAAACTGAGAAGATATGAACTTTAAAGAATCTAGGAAAGGTTTTCACTTATAAGGCATTATTTGACTTTGCTTGATTAGCAATGCACTCTATGGCTAAATTGGTCTAAAGCACATTGGATTTAATGATGGTTTCTCCTTTAAAGAGGGATGCATGTTCAAATACTGTTGGAGAGCACATATTTTTGTTTAATAAGATTTCTCAAATATTCAGGTTGGTAGACAAAAATAAATAAGGTATAATACTGCAAAGGCATGAACTTAATTTATACTTATTAACAACGGTTTCTCCTGCAGAGGGAAATACAGCTTCTAACCCTGCTGGCGATTGGAGAACACATATTTTTCTTTAATAAGATTTCTCAAATATTCAGGACAATAGACAAAAATAAATATACTGTTTAATAAATAAACGGAATGTCTACTCAAATATGGTTATCCACTAAAATAATGTTTAAAGTTCAATTCCTACCAGATGTACAATATTTCCTTTTACTAAGACTTCTAAATTTAGGATGATTGTTATTAATTTCACTGTTTAATAAAAAAAACAGAGATAGCAACTGAAACACACACATGTACCCACTAAAAATAATATTTATAGTAATAAGAAACTCTCTCTCTCTCTCTCTCTCTTGTAACCTAGGGAAAGCTACTGAATAGAATAATCAAATGAAGGTTGCTAATAAATAGTAATACTTAGGACAAGAACAACACATATAAGATTTCCCAGCAGCATGATAAAAATATAGTTTTCTGGTATGCTATATATGTAGGTAAGAGTGCTCAGTATCAGAGACAGAGCATATGTAAATATAAAAGTGAACACTGAAGTCAACACCAGGTGTCTGTTTCCTGCTTCATTGCAATCTTCAAGCCATGTGTGTTGTATTTTGGTTTAACTTTTTAGATATGTTAGTCAGTGGTGCATTATGAGTAGTAAGGTCTTGCTTGATATATATGTTATGACCAGCATATGTTTGCAAAGGAAAGAACAAACAGGGATTTTGACAAGATGTATTGATCAGTTTTCAACATATATACATAATGCTCAATGCCAGCATATGTAATTGTATGAAAGGGTAACAAGATTGGTGATATGTGGTTCTTTAGTTAGTAAGGGAAACGATTAGGTGTAAGAGTGTTGTTGATAAAGCCAGTACTTGATGGATTTGTTGGGTCAGTTGACCATGATCCTACTGGTGATGACGAGAAAGGCCTGGAGTGAATTAGTGAAGCTGCATGGTAGCATGGTTGGAGTGTTGTTAGCAAGGTTGATCTGTCTATCTTCAGTGTTGAAATTGACACTGGTGAGGCGTGGAATTGGGTCTGTGGTCCAATGATGAGGTCGAGGTGTTGGGCTGAACTGCCTGTTGTTGACGAGGTATGCCATTTTTATATCTATAGTTTAACATGTGCTGGCTCCCTGGTTCTTCTTTTTTATTTTTGGTGGCAATGTTCGTGATTGGATATCGTATTTTAGATTTTTGTATGGATTTGTTTTGTAGACCAGATATGATGCTTGGAGGCCCCTGTTCAGAAGATAACTTTTTTAGTGCTCACATCCAGCCAAAATACTGGCAGTGTAAATCAAGAGGGTAAAAATCATTACTTGCAACACACAACTACTACTACCTGTGGTCCAAAGTATTCTTCTTTTATTGGTTTAAGAAAGTTTGTGATTGTTCAAGACTGGTAGGGAAGCACAGACAATTACCATATTTCGAGGCCTACTAAAGTTGCTTCGATCTTGATTCTGATTTTCTTTTTCAACAGATAGCACAAAGAACATGAATTCTTTTCTGAGGTAAGACTTCATTTTCTCCTTTGTCACCACATATATTTATATAATTGTGGATTTGGGCAGCAATCCCTCTTTCATACAGGTTTCAGTGAAAATGAATGACAAGGCACTGCAATTAAGCTTTTTATATTTTCTTGCATTATCCTTGATAAAGGCTAATAGATTATCTAAAAGAGCTTGGATCCACAGGACATTAGGACACTTCTTACACATTCTATGTCACAAAAAGAATTCACTTGTATAAATGCAAAAAAAAATGTAATAAAAGGCTTAATTGCATACAATATATATATTATTCGCAATGATTCTTCTCCCCTGGTTAGCGATTTGCAAAAAACCAACATAGTTTACAAATTCAAGTGCCCTTTGGGAGATTGTATCTCCAACGAATTAAATAATATTTATCTTGATCACACCACAAACTCGCTTTCACGGTGCTTGACACTACATTTGAATGATAACTCTAACATAATTTAGGCATTTAAAACATCATACCTGGCTGCATACACAATTCCGGAAAATCGTTGTTGAAAACACAACTATACTTAAACATGAAGACAATAAACAAAAACTAAAAATTCTTGAAGCTATATACATAAAACAGTTGAAACCAAACATGAACAAAATAAACTATGAAATCTCCACAAATATTCTTAAATTGCCTATAATTGTTAACAGAAGCCATTGGTTTATACCAACAGCTTCCCATACTTAATACTTCTCGAATTCACTCTCACGTGGTTATGTGTGACATCATGAGCTGTGGTGCGATTTTCACTTCCAGCATCTTATATGCACAAATTTGTCGTTGCTTGGAAATCTTCCATGTAAACAGATTATCATCACTGACTTGTCCGTATATTGCTTAATATATTGTAATGTAATTGTCATCTTTGATAATGACTTATATAAGCCAAAAGCTTAGATAAAATTAAAAGATATGTGTCAATATTGTGATTTTCTTTCTTCGTTTAATGATAATGTTATTAAGCTTATCAGACAATATGAAAAGAATTTACATAAAATAAATAGATAACACTTGTCTATATTATTTAATGAAACATGTATCAATATATATATATATATATATATATATATATCCAGGTTCTACTTACTCTTGTTGGAGGAATTTCTTCTTGATTGCCCATGTTTTCAGGGGTGTAGGCATACTCACCACACTTGTAGATTAGTGAGGCTATTTAACCCATAGTTGGGGGTGGATGGTTGTTGACTGAGTTCATTTCACCCTCTGTTTTTTCTGCTGCTGAACCTCCTCACCAGACCAGAGTATGGTGGGTAACTGGTTAAATTGCTGACACCTAAACCACACAGGTTTTGAATTCAGGGTAGTGCTTCTCCTAGATTGGTTACTATCCAAGTCTGTGATATATATATATATATATATATAGTACTAAAAGTCTATGATTGCATGTGCATAATGAAAGTTAATCTGATTTAAGTGAATAAGATTTAAAAATATGAGTTATACAATAAATATTTTTATTTTAACTTTCTTCAAACAGACAATTTTTTTTAATTAAAATATTTTAAAGTTAAAGACAGGTGCCAAGAGATCCTGCTTTGCTGTTTTGACTAGTTGTTTGTAGAGTAATTATTTATATTTCAGTTTTCTTTGAACAAACAATATTTTAAATATTTTTTGGCATATTTGAAAAATTAAAATTTAAAGTTTATCCCAGAACTTCTATTCCTATTAAATGTTGTAAACAATCAGTAAAATGTTAAACATGAACTTGCAAACCAGGCCAATAATGACACAAACAAATTGAAATATTTGAATGAATCATAATACAATTAACTTTCATTCAACGGAATATTCAAAATGAACTTCTATGTTTTATAACCTGAACTGTTAGTGACCCAATGGTTCATGGCTAGTCTAGTGTGTATATATATATATATATATATATATATATATATATATATATATATATATACAGCAAAAAAACGAAAGTTACCTCAACATAGAGATAGTCTATTTCAAACTATTCTGTACATGGCTATCATCAGCCCCTAAGTGTCTGTCTCAGAGCATTGTTTTAAATTTATTTTCAATGTCAGTCCTCTGGTAGATGCCTTGTTAATGAAAATAGGTTTGTGTTAGCAATTGGTGGGGGCGTAAGATATCTTATCTTGGGGGAAGCGGTCTGGAGTTGGAGCCAGAACCTTTGTTGTTTGTAGTTTAATATCAGTTCCTACTAGGTGGCGTTTTTTATACAGGCCCTGAGTGTATTTTTCTGGGATTCACAGTAAATAGTTTTTGTACTACAGGTGTTCAATATTATTAATAAGTGATGGGGGATATAAACTTAAGATTAATGTAAATTATTTGAGTTAAAGATTTATAGATAGTGGGTAATACCCGAGCACCCAATGGAATAAATCATGTTGTCCAACACACTTATATTTGTACATATCTTCATACATACATATATGTACATTTACATGTCCATACATATATGCCACTATACGTACATATACACCCCCACATATATGCACATGTATTCTTATGTAATTTAGAATTTTTTCCTATGTTTACATTTCGTGATTAGTTCTCTCCATTGATTTAATAGTTTTCATTGGTCTTTATATTTTATTATCCTGATTTTTTCTTCTAAATATAGCTTGCACCCATCCCTAAAACTATTGGGGGTGTTCATGAAACCTAGAATTTTCCAATTTACTTGAGGATTCAAACCCTTTTCCTTCAATTCCCAAAATTTTTTCAAAAGGTCTGTCTGGAGTTTTAATTTTGGGTTGGTGAATGAATGTCTATGTGTATTGATTCTCTTTTTAAATTTTCCTTCCCAGAAAAATACACTCAGGGCCTGTATAAGAAACACCACCTAGTGGAGACTGATATTATAAGATATCTTATGAACACACCCCACCAATTGCTAATACAAACCCATTCTCATTAACAAGGCATCTACCAGAGAAGGACTGACATTGAGAATAAATTTAAAACAATACTCTGAGACATACACTGATGATAGTCTATTTCAAGGCATTCTGTATGCAGCTATCTCTATGTTGAGGTAATTTTTGTTTTTTTGTTGTAAAAAATACATATGCTCTGTTAAAATAAAAACATCAACCTCTCTGTGGATCAGTTTTAATTAATATTACTAGAATCCACCAGGATTATATACCAACAGATTGATTACCAGTATATATATATTACCCGTGTGTGTGTGTGTGTGTGTGTGTGTGTGTACCGGTTACACTGAAGACAACTGGCAAGCAATGCAATTAAGTTTTTAATTATATTTTTCTTACATTTGTTCAAGTGATTTCTTTTTTTTTGGGACATTGAGTATGTAAGAACTGTCCAAATATCTACATATCCAAATAAACTAAAAACATACTTGATAATGACTAATAGATTAGTCAAAAGCACTTTGATCCACAGATCATTTTGACAGTTCTTATACACTTATGTCCCCAAAAGAAATCACTTGTATGAATGCAAGAAAATATAATAAAACACTTAATCACAGTGTCTTGTCACTCATCTTCAATGAAATCTGTGCATATGTGTGTGTGTGTGTGTGTATATATATATATATATATATATATATATATATATATATATATATATATATATATATATATATGCTCACAGTGAAGTAATGAAGTAGCAGCTCAGATTGAGTTTGAATTTCAGTTGAAAGCATTACATTCACTTATATGCCATGTGCTAATACCCTTGGGAAAGGTATGAATCCTCGCCTCAGCTACAGGTAAATAGCAGAAAAGACTGGGTTCTATAGCCTTGGATGGCAACTGATCTAGGAGAAGGACAACTCTGAATTCAAAACCTGCAGAGGGTCATATTGGGACCTTGTAACACGTAGTGCACCAGGTCTCTGTATTCAGCTCTTCGAAAGGTGTTGTTGGTTCTGCACAAAGCCTTCACCACTATAATCAAATCATATGTGCAGGTGTTTGTCTGTCAGTTTCTAGGAACTGAGTTGCGTGACCCTCATACATTGATAAACGACGGGAGAATCCAATATATATATATATATATATATATATGAAAACTTATCTTAGCTGACACTTTTCATCCTCTGATGGACTTTACCAAGGCAAATACTTCAGAGGACAAAATGTATCAGCTAAGATAAGTTTTCTTTTTTGTTTTTATTCATATTATCCTGTTACAGATATATTTTAGTTATATTTTAAATTTTTACATATATATTGTTATTTACCATACATATGAACACTAATGGATACGTCCCAATCCTCATAAATATGTTGAACACTATTGTAAGTGTGGGTAATATGCTGTCTAAGTAGTCCACCACTAGCAGTGGTTTACCTAATTCATGCCACTGGCGAGTATTCTATTTTGTTGATGTTATAAAAATTACCATTTCATTTCCAACCTCCATTTTGGTTACTCTTCATTCAGTAACCCTTTCTAGGTTACAATATATATAAAAGGATATGAGGTGCTACTCAAATATATGGAGTATTTAAACAGACTGATCAATCTATTCATCTGTCCAAATACTTAGCATTTCCCATGTTTTACTTGACATTTCATTTATCCTCCATAAACACTCCACCAGAAAGAGCCTCTTTTTCTATTAATATTTTTCTTTCTTTTAGTAAGTCATTTTTCATGTTAATCCTACCAAACTTGCATTATATTTTTTTAATCATTAGATTTGTTTTCTGTTCCTTTTTTTACCTCCAGGCAAATTAAAACTTGGTTTAACTGATGAAGCAGAAATCCGATTAGTTTTGGAAACCGATGGCACAGACGTTGATGATGAAGACTATTTTTCTCTTCTGCCAAATGATACAGTTTTTGTATTGCTTGAATCTGATGAGCAATGGCATTTTGCTACACCTGGTGGTAAGTCATCATTAAAAAACTTCTAATAAATCAATTAATTTTCTATGCGGTGAATTACTCCAGTTTCAAGTACAAAATTACCCAATAAACTAGGATAGGCATAAATGTATTTAATAATATGTAGATTCATACTTTTCCCTTAGGAAAGGCATGAATTTACATTCCTGTGCTCTGACAGATATCTTGAAAAAACTTTTGTATTATTGGCATGCCTCAATAGTTAAATGATGAGGATAGAAGGTAAGTGAACACTTGAGAAAACTACACTATTAGCTAGACTGTTACCAAATATTTAATGAACTGAGAGATTTTTTTAATCATATCATCTGATCTCATACAAAGCAGTAAAGACACTAAGACACAAAGGGGTTACTGAGTGTAAAAGAATAAGAAAAAAGAGAAACATTATTAAGGAGTGAGAATAATAGAAGAGTAATCAAGAAGACAGTAGATAATGATTGACATTGCATTTAAATTTTTAAGATTAAATTTGGCTCGAAATCATGGAGTCAAAAGAGAGTTCCACAAACAAGAAGTGCAAGAAAAGAAACTTACGGTTACATCTAGCCAGTTCAACTGAATTGATGAGACCATAGTGAAGAGTTTATCCAAACATTTACCATGAAGAAAAGGCACAAGGAAGCTACCTTATGCCACTGGGAAAGTGACTAAAGCCAAGATGCCAGGTTAGGACTAATAATATTGAATCAAGAATCTCTAAATATATAGCGAAAGCACTGGATCATATGTGGCAGCAATATTCAAAGCCTAGATGAATGGTAGATTTATAAATATATAAGAGCATGACACAGTGAACCAACTTTCTTAGTAGCAGACTTAGCAATGGATTCAATATAATCTTTCTGTTTGTTTGGATAAGCTCTTCAGCATGGTACCTAGACTCTTATGATTTTAAGTGCAGTACTAGATTGATGACAAGGTCTCACCAATATACAGTTCAGTTGGCTAGATGTAAGTTTTATGCTAACAGTTTCTTTTCTTGCACTTCTCACTTGTGGAACTCTCTTCCAACCCCATGTTTCCAGTCAACTTTAATCTTCAAAAATTTAAATTCAGTGTCAATCGTTATCTACTGTCCTCCTGATTACACTTCTTTTGTTCTTGGTCTTTAGTAATGTTTCTGTTCTCTAATTCTTCCATATCCAGTAATCCCTTGTGTTCTAGTGGCTTTACTGACTTGCTTGAGGTGAAATCAATTAAAAAAAATGTAATCCTGAGAAGGTGCAACGAGCCACTTGCATGGAGGCTAGTATGAGCCAAGCTGATAAGATGCAGGAATGGATTTTTCAGGTGATTTATAGAGATAAGTTTTGTTTTGGAGGCATTACAATTAATAAACCATTCTTTGCCTCAGTTAACAGATTGTGGGTCATTTTTGAGATTAACTGACAATAGTAGAAAAGTGCCACTAGATTTTTGTGGGTTTGGCATATGTCTGCTAAGTTTCCAATAAAAAGACCTTGTTGAGATGAGACTTTATTAAACTGTAAAGAAAGATACTAATATGAATTCTAAGCCCTGACTTAGTTTTTTTACTTGATAGTGCCATGTAATGCATTTGTGCATCATGGTCATTTTATCATCGTTATCATTGGTCCTGTGACCAGGTGTGGTTGTAAATTCACTCTCCAGCTAAATACCTAACCAACTCCCTCCCCCATATCTGGTTGTACACTAAAAACTGGGATAAAAGTTGGAGATGCATGCTTAGTGTCTTCAGCAAGTAAACCTGACAGAACCCATCTCACTCCAGGTTAGACCACAACTGATGTACTCCAAAATGAATGCTCACCTTGGTCACAGTTGTGTGGCTTTTGATTCCTATACCAAAATACAGCATTACAAATCAATGGTAACAAAGTTAATAATGCTGATATAGTCTTACAGAATGTGAATATAGTCTTACAGAATGGTCAGCAATCGGAGCACCTCATAGATATGGTATTCTGACAGTGACGGATTGCCTTTGACTGGGTTTTGAATACAAGTCCAAAATGTTGCATATTCAACTGAGGAACACAAGAATTCTGAAAGGTCAATACCCCTCCCACTTCCACTGAGGAGGAATGCAGAGCCAATGTGCGATATGCATTCTTGTAATGTTATTCCTCCTACTGCCATTTAGAATCCAAGATACTACTACTCTCTCCTAATAAAACAAATAACAAAAAGAAATGTCCCTTGGTACCATTTTATGTAGTAGTATGGGGATCCAAAGATCAAAGACAACATGGAACACAACAATAACTTTTGTTTGTAACTATTTGTATTGCCTTAAGTAAAACTGTGGAATTTATTTGCATATGCATCAAAGACAATATCCAACATTCTACAAGATACATATCTGGTTCATATTACAATAAACATGTTCACATTTAAAGAGGGTTTATAGACCCAATGTCCACAAGGATGTAGTAGAAAAAGTAAGAGTTTATAATTACAAAATAAAAATATGTGTATTTATGTCTCTTCATATAGCATATGGATTTTACAAGTGTAATGGTTTTAGTTTACCAAGTTGTTATGGTAGGCATCAATTTGTAATGGCATTATTTTGTTTGTTAAAGGGAGAGATTTTCTTGTGTTTGTTGTATATTTATATGATTAGTTGTAGGGAATATATTATTGTGGTTGCTTGAATTTTTTTGTCATATTGGAGACAGCATAGTGATAGTATTGTTGGGGAAAGATTCCATGAGTTACTATTTGTTGAATGAAAAATGAGAGAAAGGATTGTTGTGTGTTAAAGTAAAATAACGATTTCTTAACTGTAACTACTATCATGAAATAAAAGTTTGTATTTAGAAAGTTCTCTCTGACTGAAAAGGAAATGAACACAAATAGTCTTTCAGTGAGGAAGAGAGAAAATGGAGTTGGGAGACAAGATCAAATGGTATCCACTGTTGCTTTGGCGAAAAAGACAGGACAATGAATTTGACACATGTCTCTTTACTGCTGTAAGTTTTTCTGCTGAGTTGAATGGATATCTGGTTCATATGGCTTCATGTAGGCTCCAGAAACCTATGTTTATTTATTTATTGGTGGGAGCTGATTTTATTGGATATTCTTTATTATTAATTTGAAATATGTTAGAGACCAGAAGACTGTGGGGAGCCTTTGCATGGTGCATTTATTTTTTTCATCTGACATTTTGATTTGAAACAGTTAACTTCTGCATATTTGACAGTATTGTGCTGTATATGACATGGTTTGTTGGAGTCTAAGAAGTCCTCTAGAGAGGAAAAGAGACATGTTTTTCTTTATGGCATTCCATGGATGAAAAGTGAGAGAAGAGAGACAGTTTTTGTGCTCTTTCCTTTTTTGCATTCCTTTGAACATGGCTGTGATGTATTGCATAACTGAAATACGTCAGAAGATATAAGTATATTGGGCTAATTTAAAAATACCCCACAAATATTTATACAAATATTAGGACTGGCTTATAGAATGCAAAATCTTTACTTTGATTTCTGTATTAATATTGTTGCCTTTTTTTTTTTTAAAAGTTGCAAAAATCCTGTATTTAGAATAATATGTCACATTTCAGAAACACAAGTCACTTTTTCCACTATATAGCAAAAATATTAATCTGTTAACTGCAAATGACTGAAAATTTCTGTTGTTCCAATTTTATGGCTTAATTTCTGCTGCTGTTAACAGATTAACAATGAAATAAAATGTTAAATTTTTTAATAATTTTGGCAATTCTTATTTTTTCTTGTCTAGATTCAATGAAAGAAATAAAAGAAGTCATGAAGTGTAATGTTAAAGAAAACAATCTGTCAGCTTCTCCAACGCCTGCAGCTCCAATTGCACCACCCACTCCAGCCACCCCAGTTGCCCCAGCTACTCCAATAGCTCCAGCTACTCCAACAACAGTTACTGTTAGTGGAGGCAACAATTCCGTCAGGTGCATAGCATCTGATTCCTTCCAGCTTCCAGATGACAACTTTGCACCAAAAAGTGGTATCAATATTGCTGATTTTAAAAAGGATGCTTACCAGTGGAACGAACAGTCAACCCGTATATTCATTGAACTCTACAAGCACCACCATGAACTTTTCATGCAGCCAAATATTAAAAAGAAAAACCTTTGGGAGGAAATATCAAAAAAAATGCTTGACTACGATTATGAGATCAGTGCCCGACAGTGTGAAAACAAGTGGAAGTCACTAAAGCTCTCTTTTAAAAAAGTTGAAGAATACAACAGACAATCAGGCCTGAAACGTAAGTGCAGCTTTTATGATGAAATTTCAGAAATCCTTGGACAATCAAATGTGATCTCCATCAGCCTGGCAAGCACATCACCGGCATGTGTACCTGAAGTGTCAGACAGTTCTCCAGAGAAAACGCGCCGGTTCAAATCAAAGCGTCCACGTACTTCTGAATGCACAGCTACGGACATTTTAAATTGGCTGAAGGCAAATAAAGAAGAAGAAAAACGGCAACAAGAAGAAGACAGACAAGAGATGCGGCGAATGCATGAAGAGAAGATGAAGGCATTTTATGGCTTTCTCGATGTATTAAAAAAATGGAAGAATTGAAAGAAAGAAATGCATTTTTTTAATTATCTTGATTCTGTTTTGGTTTTATATTTTCAACAATTTTCTTTTAGGATCTAAGATTTTGTTTTTTGATTAAATTTAAGGGTATGTTTTTCATGTTATGCCAAAATGAAGGAACTTCAACTTTGTAGGAACTTCAAAAAACAGAAAGAATGGTTTTAAATTATTGATCATTTGTTATTTTATGCTAAGGTATTTGAAAAAGGTATGAGCTCAAAGAAATTTTAATTTAATTCCATTACCAGCCATCTTGATACAGTCTTCTCAAAGGCATAATAAGGTGAATCAAAAAGCATTGAGGAAAAATTCTACACAAGTCTTCATCTTTAATCTGAGTTCAAGAATTAGAGAGGATTATGGTCAAATGCCAAAATGGCTGAAACCTTATTAGAATTTTGCTAACTCCACTTTTTGATAGATCTCTTCAAATAGAAATTAAATAAGAATTTTTATTATAATGTTTACTATAAATGTGAATATTCACTGTATCATTACCCAATTTAACTCATCTTCTGTTAAACTTCATTTGATATTTTAATCGTAGAATTAGATGAAATCTAAAGAATGTAAGTACCTTTTTCTAATGACTTCAGAAGAGCATATAGCCTGTGGGAATTGTTTGCCAAATGACTTCAAAACAACTTATGTCCCATGGGAAATCTTTTTCAAATGACATTAGAAGAGCATGTGGTATGTGGGCAGTAGCATACAGAAGAGGGGTGCATAGGGTGGAGTGGCCCCTGACATCCATATCAGGAGGGCAGCCAATCAAAGAGTGAAATAAAAATTTATTATATATAATTTGAATAAACTGTTTATTTCATGTTTCATCTGTTTTTATATATTTAATATCTTCCTTTTTCAAATTTCTCTGTACTAAGCCTTATAGGGCCCCTTATTTGAGTCTTAGGGACATACAATCAGAGTTGGCCCCAGGCATCACCAAACCTCTGCACATCACTGCATGTGGGAAGTGTTTGTCAGATGACTTCCAAAAAGCTTATGGCCTATATGAAGTGAACCTGAAATGTGTCATGTTTCAATTAGTTTATTGGAGTATTTTATTGTGTGCACTTTGGTGTATAGTTGCCATTTTTTAAAAGATGAGTTTAATATCTGTATAAGTATCTTTTCAAATCTGTGCTGATTCTTCATATAATTATTTCTACTTACTTATTATTGTTGAGAACAGTAGAGAGTCATTAATGGTATGTTGAAGTGAAATACTATGTCAGGTTATAGAAATCAGAAGCATCATCTAAACAATACATATTAATTATACAATGTAGAAAATAAATCCATATTCTGGATAAAGTGCTAATTGGGAAATGATCAAATGAAATAGTTGAAGTAAAATTCAAGTCCTGAAAAATTAGTTATTTTTTATGTATATTTTCTTAGAATTATTATTTGTGTTGTAAGTTGATCAACAAACCAATAACTGGAATTAAAGGTGCATTTCCATCACTAATTCCTGGCTCATATTGCTTTCATCTAATAATAATGGATATAGACTGGGTAGATGTAATAAAAATCAACTAAAATTAAGATGAAAGAAGTACTAGTCAGAAATTATGAATGTTTGACAATGTTACATCTAATAAAATTCAAGAAAATATTATTAAATACACATTTGTTTGGGGCTGATTTCTCAAAATAGAATTTTATATCTAAAACATTCCAAGATTTGGTTAGAATTTTAAATGGGTTATACCGTTAAAATATTTGATTTTTTTAAAAATTTTTATCCTAAAAATAATGAATATGATAGACTATTTACTCTTCTTTACTGTATTTGTCATAATTGAGAGAATAGTAGCCATTTTCTGTTATTGTCTAACCTAGGAGATCAGATTTCTCACTTACCACTTTTAATTTCTTATCTATTATAATGGTATACCAGTGACAAGACCTTGATCAAGATGACTGGTGATGAGATAAAGCAATGTGAAACATGAAAACTGAATTAATATTCTTTCTGATGATAGTGTGTGAAAGTAACACGGTTATTACTGGAATAATAATTTATTGATTATACATCCCAAGTTGCTAAGCATTATGTTGGTTTGTATTTCTTGCAGTTAAAATAAGCATTTATTTATTAAGTTTAAATTAAATGAAACTCTTTCTTTATTCTTAATCAGAGAAAAAAAATAAAGAGCCATTTTTATCTGTTTTTTATTACCAACATGAATAGTTAATGGGGGAAAATTTCACTCTGGTCAGTGATAATAAAGTGAAATGCAGGTAATTTTGAAATTGGATAAATGAAACCAAATTTAAAAAATATTTTTCAAGATTGGAATTAAAAGAAAAAATTTAAATGAATGCATTTTTTATTTAGAATCAAGGGACCAAAAATATTGTTATTTCCATAATCACACTTATTAATATAAATATAAAATGCAATGTTTATCCACACACAGATATACATACATACATACATATTGTTTATGCAAGTTTCATTGAACGACTGACAAGGTGCAGTGGTTGAGTTTTTTATATAATTTCTCATAGATGTATACATTAGAAATTATATAAAAAAACAACCACCAAACCTTGTCAGTCATGTTCAATAAAACTTGCACATATATATATATATATATATAGAGAGAGAGAGAGAGAGTTAATATAAGTAAAAGTTTGTCAATTAGCTGATTGATGTTACCTTCAGCATCCCGACTCCAGAGTTTGGGGGCAGACTCATCTGTCCACTCTTCAGGGGCATCAGCAATTGACTGCTTATATTTCTCCATTTCCTTTTTATGCACTTATTATTGGTGTAATTTTTTACTGTATTGTTTTCTATGAAATTTCTTGGACGTTCAGATTGGCAAATGTTGTTAATACTGGTAAACAGAGCATTTACTTAAATATTTGTGTCTATATAAATAGCACATAACAATAAAATATATTAAAATAATTATCAGGCCTAGTCCATTTCATAATATATATATATATATATATATATATATATATATATATATATACACACACACATATGTATACACACACATATTATTTTGATTACTGGCCTGAACATTCAAGAAATCTTATTAAAGGAATTGTACCCTATAGCAGGATTCAGACCTGAATTCCCTTTTCAGGAGAAACTAACAATTTAATCTGACATACTTTTGACCATTTGGTCATTAAGGGCTTCTTAATCAACCACAGTTTTATCTGCCATAGAAGCGCACTTTGCTCATTCAGATTTCTCTGAAAGTCATAACCAAAACTAAACAAACCAATTTCTAAATAATTAATGGATTTTATTTATTAATCCAACATATTTCTGTTACTTTAAATGTTATTTTTAGTGGATACCCATATTTGAATAGATGCCCATTTATTTTAAGCAGTACTTTATTTTGTCTACCAGCCTAAACCTTTGAGAAATATTATTTAAGAAAATGCACTCTCTGGCAGGATTTGAAATTGTGTCAATCTTTGCATGAGAAACTGTCAAGCCTGATTCTGGGTCCTGGGTAGTGTTTTGTGACCCTCACTATCTTATCAACATTTGCTTTTTTCTGTCTACATTTATATATGTTACAAATTAAACTAAGCACAACTGACTATTAAAGGATGAAAATTTTTGCAGATTTTGGCATCATTCTGGGGTCTTTTTCTTTTTGGGGGTGGAATCTGTGAATTTGTTTTGCTCATGCTAAGTTTCAAAAATCACTATATGAAATTTACTATTTTTTATCCATAATGTTGAATGTGTTAAACTTTTTAGCAAAAAAAATCTTAAATTGAAGTTAAAAACTGCTGAAAAACAATGTCAATCTATTTAAGACAGAATTATCTATTATGACGTATCTCTAATTTGTATTTAGGTACATAGTGTTTATTTTCATTTTTTCTAGTTCAATTATTCACCTATATTGCATATTATCCATTATTGTACATAATTAGGTTACAATAAAATTTGTATTTTATATGAATACTACCTTATGAAAATTGAGATGTAGTAGAGTGGGTGGATCTTGTATCATAGATTGGGGTGAGGACACAAGACCCTTGCACTGGCTCTGTATGATCCATAATTTTCAATCATTTTTATAGGTACTATGCTAGTTTATTGATAAAAACAAATAAATCTCTTGATTTAATTGTCATGATTGACAGGCTAAATTAATCATTGCATATTCTTACTGGTAGCTTATTTTAGTTTGCAGAATAGCAAATTAAGCTTATTGCTAAAACACTATTTAATCTGTGATAACACAGGTAGCATTTATGAAACAATAACAGACCGCTATCTCCTCCACCTCCTTTCCTATTTTCGCTCCTGTTTCTCTTTTTTCTTTCTAATCACCTCCTGTGATAATATCTATTTTCTTCACCAATATAATTTCTCCCACCCCTTTCTTCCTTTTCCTGTATCTCTCCTCATTTTTATGTCCTACTGATTTTCTTGCCAAACATTTATGCTTTCATCTGTCCACTTCTATTTTTTTTTTTTTTTAACATACAACATGTGTTAGCACGTGCGATACACTGTCTTCATCACCTGCCAACCAGGGGTGATATCACGGTTTCGGTGGCTATGGCGGGACCGCCACCCCTGGCATCACCAGCAGCGTTTGCCACCAGACAGGGTATAAGCTAATTGATCGTTCCTTTAAGTAAATTCTATCCGTAATGAAAGTTTCCTGAACGCGTTTGCTGTTATTGACGCACTTGTAAAAATCGTTATCGACAACCACACATATATATGTATATCTTGTCTTTATCATTCATTCTTTTCTTCTTAACATTCCCATTTGTTTGATTGTTGACTATATGTCTATGCAGTACCAGATTTAGGCCTTAAGAGGCCCCTTCACTAATAGAATTTTAGCCCCCTTTAATACATTATGTTTTCCCTCTCTCCACATCTATAAAATAAATGATATATTTTTAGATGATGCTTTTTTGGTGTAAAACATGAAGCACTTCAACTAAAATTAAATAAAAACAAACAAATCTACTCTGTTTGTAAATGTTCATATTTTTTTAATTTTAACAGGGACAAAAGACTAGAGGAGCCTCCAAGGTAGCTCATATTAGCCCATATGTAAATCTGGTACTGTTTATGTAACTCAAGACATCATGAGGATAATTTATTAAACAAATACATCAGAACTTTTATTCATCCTCACTCATTTCTTTTTTTCTCAAAGTTTCTATTTTGTTTCATCAAGTTCTTGTGTTTAACCCATATCATGGGGAGGATTTATTAAACAAAAATCAAACTTTCAATTCTTTTTATATATATATATATATATATATATATATATATATATATATATATATAGTGAAACAGCAAATTCCAGTTGTAGGGAAAAATAAATAAGATAATAATTACAGTTATATTTTAATATCAACTGCATTTAATTTGTTCTACCACCCCTTTACACAAGCTCCTTAATTAGGTTAGATTACTCACTGTTTCCCTTTGCCTCTATTACCTTTAATATGTCCTGTAAGGGTCACATTCTTCAAGCCGTCTTTCCTTATTATGTATCCCAGAAATTTCAACTTTCTTTTTCTTGTCCTAAGTACTAGTGTCCTTTTAATAAATTAAAGGGGATACTCATGATTGTACAGTGGTTATTCTGATGTCACAATACATAAAGAATGAGGTTAATCCTTACAATGAGCTCTAGAATTATGGCCTTGTGTTAAAACTAGTTTAACCCAATAAATACGAAAAGGGAAATTTTAGAAAATACTACTCAACACATAACATTGTAGTTTTGTGTGTCAAGGAAAAATGTTTTATATAGAATTCTTGAGTCTCATCTATAACAAATGCCATTTATGGCTTAAAAAGTGGTTTTATTTCTACATACCTACACTGCTTTAGGGCAGTGTTTCTCAATCAGTGTACTTGAGTGTACTAATGTGCCCTGAAAGATAGCTAGGTGTGCCCTAAATTAAGAGAAGAGGAATTCATGAATTATTTTTACATTTAAAAAAATCTTTCTTTTTAAAAAGCTAGAGACACCAAGCATATAGTTTCCATGTCTAAGTCAAGGCTATATCATTTGATATTTTAAACTGGATGCTAAATTCTTTAATCTTTAAGAAGGAGTGGGTAATCCTTTCCCTTTTGTCTTCCTGAAAGGATTTCAATCAGTCATTATCAGCCTCTCAAAAAACAGCAGATTATTCAAAAATTTTAATGAAAATTGTATTGCTTTTATTCTTTGAGAGTGCTAAACCAAAATTTCATATTTTTAAATTTCATGACAAATTTTTTCTTATTAAAATTAAAATTACACTCCAGAGTTTTAGTGTGCCCTGAAGTTAAAAAGGTTGAGGAACCCTGCCTTAGGGAGTAGAATAAATGAACATGTCTGTCTACATTTCTGAGATGAGGTATTATAATTATTTACATTATTCAGACTGTTGTCCTCATCTTTATTGCCATATTCACGGTGTTTCATCCATTGCATGCTCCAGCTTTCTTCAGATGATTGGAATTTTGAACTGAACTCTTTTATTTCATCTGGCAGGGTAGATTGTTCTAGTTCCACATGCCATGCTTCTTCTGGATGACCCAGTAATCTCCCTTTAGCTCAACTCTCCAAGTTTTTGTTCATCACTGTTTTTTGTTCATCACAGGTATTGAACTCACAACTGTCTGGGTCAAGTCATAGGATCCAACCAACACTTTTATCCACATGTAACCTTGCAGACATTAGTGTATGAATTTTTGGGACTTATAAACTTATAAACTATTTTTTTACCAGATCTCATATTGCAATTTTTGTTGCTATTATTGTTTTTCTCTATATTACTCCGTATATTACTCAGTTCCTATATTGTATTCATTTCTATGCTTGGCCAGCTTAGGAGCTTTTTGTAGACTAGCATATGTGCTGAGATCCTTAAGTTTTTGTATTTTCCAGTGATGTTCTCTGTCTGTTAGTTCAACCTCAACCCACAGGGGGTGGTGATCTCCCTTTTCTCTTGCTATGTGGTTAGCTACACCTGATTTTTCCATTTCCCCTCATGTTATGGATTTACGATGTTCTTGCAGTCTTACCTTAAGGGAGCAGCCTGTTACACCTTTATATTTCTTATCCTTCATCATATTCTCCTCTGTGGGGGTGGTCTCACTTGGAAGAGGTGTTTGTGAATGAAAACTTGTAGAGTTGAGTTAAAGGGAAATAACTGAGACATCCAGAAGAGGCATGGCATATGGAACTAGAACAATCTATCCCAGAGGATGAAATAAATGGGTTCAGTTCAAAATTCCAATCACCTGAAGAAGGCCAGAGTGTACAACAGTCAAAACATTGTGAATATGGCAATAAAGATGAGGACAACAGTCTGAACAATGCAAATAATGTAAATAAATTAACGTATTAAATAGAATGTTAGCATTTTCTGGTATGCTAAACAAAAAATTGAAGATTCTTATAGTGTTTCAAATATTTATAGAAATGTCACATATCTAAGTTTTAACTCCATGTATAACAGATGTCACACCTTTCAGTATTTCATATATCCATGTGTTTGTCATTCTTTTTTGTAATCTCTAATAAATCTCCAGGTCACACACACACACACACACACACACACACACATATATATATATATATATATATATATATATATATATATATATATATAGATAGATAGATAATATTAGTGGAAAATATACATACATATGCAAAATATATATAAAAAAAATTCCCATACATGTATATTTTCAGAAAAAAAAAAAAAATTTTTCCAAGAGGAAGGATCCAGGTAGAACTCAATGTCTAGGACAGAGTAAGGATATAATAAAAAGGCTTAAACACTTTGTAGGTCTGATGATTTGGATCGTATTTACGATTCCAATGGAATAAATTATGACCATGGAATATTAGTGTTTAAGCCTTTTTATTATATATATATATATATACATTCTGTGTCTCAGCACCATGGGTAACAAAACAGTACAATATATTTCAAAATTCTAATCTAAAAAAGAAAACATCTCAGCAAGAAAAAAATCCCCAAAATTTAAATTTATTGTATTTTGAATATTTTATGTTGTTTGACAAATTTTGAGGAGTGCTGTTGAAAGCTAAAATTGGGTGGAAATTTTGGAAGAGAAATAAGTCCAACTAGTACATTTGTACAATCTATATCATCATTAAAAAACATTATTCAAAGAAATTTAACAAAATTATTTTATAACAACCAGGATTTACCATTTTGTTATTTGATAAGACTAAAATAAGCTACCAATAATGTAATGAATAAAATGGTTACTTTATAATAACAACCAGACAACATCTAAAGATGCCAGCTTATATTGCTCTGAGTTTCATGCCAAAATTGCAATCATCAAACAATTATGATCAAGGGAGATAATTTGACTATTAATTATAGGAAATTTGGCTTATCAGTTACAGGTTGGTGTCTCTAGAAACAATCCTGGTTATTGTTTTTATTATTACAGCTCTGTCTTGGTTTGGGTTTCCATTTCAGGTTTCTTTATACAATAGGTATTAAGCACTTGTGTTTTGCTAAAGTAGGTATCTGTTTCTTTTATACTAGCTTTGTATAAGTAAGGTTTGTTTTCTACTTTCCCTTCATCTCTTAGTTGCTTTAATCTCTCTCTCTTTCTTTATATATATATCTCAACATCAACATAAACATTACTTTAGTCCAATGAAGTCCTAAGTTTCATGCAATCTTCAGGTGCAAAATACTTCCTGACTATTAGAGTGATATGAAATTTGCGTTCTTGTGATGATGATTTAAAATTGCGTGTTAAGGCCTGTTTATTTTATTCTTGTTGCCTATAATATTATAATTGATTATTTATAATTTATATCATTCCAATTCTTAAGTTTTTAAAGATGAAGAATTAAAAAATAAAAATTAAAAATTATTTTAAATAAAAAATTTGAATTTATGGAAACATGTTATGTATCAAGGGGGATAACTCATTTTTGCATAAAATAGTGTTGTTTAATGTATTTACAGATTGCGACATCTATCTGAGAGATGAAATTTAAATTTTTGTTATTGCATTATTCCAAAATTTTCACACATCAGCAGGTAGCTATTAATGTCAACAACTGAACACAAATAGTTTTTAATTAAAAAAAATTGTAATTAATGTATAATATTATCCATGACTACATGTACAAGAATGTCATATTTGATAAAAGTTTAAAAATAATTATAATTACATAAAAAATGCGTATATTGTTGAAAATTCCTTTTTCCACAATATAGCTATTTGTGATGTTATACTTCTTATTACTTAAACAATAATAATAGAGAATAATTTTTTTAAACATTAAAGTATATTTAATCACATCTCTCTAATAGCTGTTGCAATCTGTTAAAATAATCTCTTATGGAATAAACTTAGCACTAAAATATATAAAATATATATATATATATATATATATAT